TCCATCGATAGGATGAGCAACGCACCATCCAACAGCGCCTGCGCCAACTGTGTACAAGTTACAAGGGTGCCGTTTGCGCGAACGTGTCAAGGCTGCCGTTTGCGCGATGTCAGCAAAGCGCAAGTGCCGGTTCGACAAAGCGCAAGTGCGACCTGCGCCAAACTTTTGCGTTTCCAAGGTCCAAGGGTGCCGTTTCGGCCACTACCGCCTGCCTGCCGCCCAAGGACCGTGCCAACACCGGTCCTACGTGGCCCCACCCCTTGCTAAGCCTCGAAACCTAAAAATGCCCACCCTCGCGACGACCACCGACGTTGAAATCTGAGTGACGTTGAAATGTCTCAGGGGGGGAAAACGCAACCCTGACAGGCTGCAAATTGGGGGGATCGGGCTATCTCTAGGTGGCGGGCGCCAAGTGTGCCCAGGAAGGTACATGAGGCAGTGGGGATTGAACCCAAGACCTCCTGAATGCCACTTGCGTGCCTTACCAACTGAGCTAGGCCGCTGGACTGGAGCGAGGCCCATGGAAACCAGGGCAATTATGCCCTTCACTTCATGAAGTCATGCAGGACAGGCGTTCTATTCGCGGATCGGGACACGCGGGCGAAGGTGTCAATCCCCCGAATCAAGAGATACTGTCCGTAGATTACACATTATTTTTATTTATATTTACTTTGGTTATCTGATTGAGGGCCTCGCTGCACTACTATCGAAATGTGCAAAACGAGAGCGAATCTTCCGCTAGAATATGGAAAGATGCACGGCCATGATTTGATTTTTGTCTTTTGTGCATGTCGAGAGTAGTGCAGCGAGCCGCTGAATCTGGATTCGAACGTAGGTGTACTAACTGGGTTACATTCTTCCCCCGAATACAACGTACCGTCATTATAGCTGTATATGACGCAACTTTCGGTCTACATGCAACTGGAATGACCGTGCGTTGTATTCGGGGGAAGAAGGGTAACGCAGATTGACGGGAAGGATCTGTCTCCCTTTTATTCTTTTTTTTTTTCTGAAAATGTCGTTCTTGTAATAATAAGTGGACCCTCGGCCCCCTTAGGTCCGACACTTCTTCCCCCGAACACAACGCGCCCTCATTTTGACTGTATCGGGCCGGAAACATACCTTATATACGTTCATTTCAGGGTGCGTTATGTTCGGCGGAAGACACCGCTTGCCATCCGCCAACATTATGAACATTATGAATGCATCTGAACACGAAATTTCACCAAATGTATGCAAAATCTCGGCGAATAGCGAATAGCAAATAGCGAATAGCGAATAGCGAGTGGTGCAACTACTGTAGGCCCTTAGCCGGGGCTAGGTCCCACTTGCACGAATTAAGAGACACTGACAAAAGATAGCGAAGATCAACGGCCGAAAACTCCTAATTTGCGCAAGTGGGACCTACCGGTAGCCCCCAGCTTGTCTGACCAATGCCCCTCCCTATGTCGGGGGTACCTAAGGGTTGTCGTGGTAGGGGAAGGAGTTATTTTTTGCTGCATCGGATCTTCACGCAGCAGTGTTTACCGGCCGGGCGGCTCGGACTTGTGCGCAGCCCGGCTTGTCTGTGAATCAATTAATTGATCGACCGATTGATTGATTGATTGATTGATTGGTTGATCGGCCTTGTGGTGCTGTCTGATCGCGCCACGTGGCACCAATTTTGCCCCGTCTCCTTCAGCCATGGCGTTGTCGTCGCCATCGCCAGCGTCCTCATTGGTTCAGCCCCCGTCGTCATCGCTAACGCCAGCCCAGGTGAATCCTCAATCCTCAGTCAGTCTATCCTGTCATTAATACAGTAATGTTGACCCTTTCCTTCTTGCAATCGACCCTCTCGTTCTTTGCAACTTAGCAAGGCTAACCTTTGTTTTGTTTTGCTGGTCGTTCCTGCTTCCGCTTCCGCCTCAACGAGCTGAGTGGTGGCGTTTATTGAGCTCGCATCTTGCGTGTTAGCGGAGTGTATACGTGATACAAGTGTGTGTGTGTGTGTGTGTGTGTGTGTGTGTGTGTGTGAGCGCGTGTGTGCGTGTGTGTGCGTGTGTGCGTGTGTGTGTGTGTGTGTGTGTGTGTGTGTG